CCCTACCAGGCCTGCTCCCAGCCCCAGATCTCACGTGTTCCAACAGGTGCCACATCCCTGTATGGCATGGTCTGCCCATAGTCCTGGCCTTTGCATGTGCCAGCGAATACTGCAGCCAGGCTTAGCCTGTCACTACTCCCAAGCTCTCTGTGCAAACCTGTGGGTGCTGAGTCACACAGAGGTGAACCCACAAATTCCCTATAGAATCTGCCCCCAGGCAAATCCTGTCAACCTAGACTGTAGAACCACCCTTCAAGTACAAGAGCCAGGGCTGGAAATAGGCCTGTTAGGGAAACTGTGGGCACCTCCCTGATGGACTATAACTCCTATTGGTGGGCACAAGAATCAGGGTTGGGGGCTAGTCTGGCTAGACAGCCGCAGCACCCACCAGCATGGGTGTGGGGTTGGTTGGGTTGAGCTATGCCTCAACATCCATTGATATGAGAGCTGAATAGGATGTGAGACAGACTGAACCAATCTGCTTCACATACTGGCAAGCATAGGAAGCAGGGCTGGGAACAGGCCTAGTGAGGGTTACCGGGGGTCGTCCAAACTAAGCTGCAGGTCCCACTGGTGCACATGAGGGCCAAGTTAGTGGTGAGCAGGGTTGGACTGGGCCATAGCATCCACTGGTTTACATAAGCTGAGATTGGAGATAGAACTGACCCAGCAGTTGCAACTACCAGTGTGTGTATAGGCTAAAAGAGTGACTGAGCCAGACCCCATACTAGCAACCACAAGAGTCAGGTCTGGGATCGCCACAGACAAGGTTTATATGGGGAAACCATGGGGAGAATTGCAGGATCTGGGGTCTGACCGTAGAGTGCATGTGTCAGAACTAGACCTGAACCGTGGCAAACATGAAGCCGTGGATGATGGTATGCCCAGATGCACATGGAAGATATGGCAGTCCCTTGGAACCTGCGGAGGATATCTGGTATCATAGCAGAGGAAGGAGAGCAGAACAAATTGCTCAGTTGCCCCCAGCCAAGTGTTGACAGCAAATATCTGGGCGAATGTAGACTCTGGGTTTGACTGTGTCAGCAGCTGGAATTTGGAAGGATTTCCTCATCCTTGAATTGGCAAGATCAACAGTGTTTCAAAACTATCAAAACCACTCAAGCGGAACCCTCAGAGAAGGACCCACATTGGTTCTGGGATGACATTAGGTGGCCATTCCCCATCCCCAGGTACAGGGGCGGTGGGTAGGCTGGGTCCAGCTTCTCCCTTAATTTCTCCCCTTCCTCCAGATACAGGAGGAAGAGGGAGAAGACTTGGAAATAGTGGTTTCACCCACACTGCCCTAGTCCTCAGTCTTTCCAACCTTGCTTAGCTATGTAAACATCATCAAAAACAATTTTTTTTTAAAGACTCTGCGCCTAGATCCAGTTCTTTCATGTTCTGGTGGGTGCTACCACCCAGCCTGACATGGTCTACCCCTTGCTCTGCTACCTCTTGCTCTTGCTCAGAGGAAGGTACTCAGGCCTTGCCCAGCCCAGGTTTTCCATGTGGGCCTGTTCCTTGACCTGACCCAGACATGCCCTTGATTTCACCCCCTCCAAATCACTCCCTCCTGGCTCTCTTACCTGCAAGTGCAGTGACCCAGTTTGTGAATGTTTCCAAAAATTATTTCTCCCTTGTCAACATGCCCTCAGCTTCTGCCACTCCAGTATGTCCCCAGACCCCTCCTTTTGGGCAACCTGCAGCCAGCCCTTCTCTTCCCACCCCAACCTGAATTCCAACTTTTATAATTCTCACATGGGTTATGGTACTAGGTGGTCAGTCATTCAACCACTAGCCTTGTGTTCCCTTCACTCCCTATGTCTCTTCTGAGTTCTTCTGCAGCTCCTCTTAGTCCCTGTGTTTACCTCTAAAGTTACACTAGTAACACTGTGTTTGATCATATACTTGCTTTTCTGTGTCCTCCTTTGTACTGATTTTTATGTCACGGTCCCCCAACACAGTGTATGACTGTAGTAGACAGCCAAGGCTTTGCCAGGCTGTAGCCAAAAGTTAAGTTTAACATGGGTTTCCCACATGTGGTCAGGGATCCAACTGCACAAGCCATTCCTTGCTGCCTCTCATAAGCTAGAATCAGAGACAGAGCTAGGACTAGGCTCTGGCAAGGGATGCAGTTGTCCCAAGCAATAGCTTAACCACTGTACCAGATGTGCCTATAGCAATGAAATGATTTCATATTCCTTACTTTTAAAAAAGATTTATTTGTTTTAATTAGAAAGGCAAATTTACAGAAAAGAGAGAGAAAGATCTTCCATCCACTGGGTCACTGTCCAAATGACCACAATGGCTGGAGCTGAGCCTCTCCTGAGTCTCCCATGCGGGTGCAAGGTCCCAAGATTTTGGGCCATCCACTGCTGCTTTCCCAGGCTGCAAGCAGGGAGCTGAATAGGAATTGAAGCAGCTGGGATACATACTAACATCCATATGGGATGCTGACATTGGTAGGTAGAGGATTCGCTAGTTCAGTCATTGCCCCAACCCCAAAGAATTCATTTATTTGAAAAGCCAAGTTATAGAGGGGAGAGATAGATCGTTCATCTGCTGGTTCATTCCCCAGGTGGCCAGGGTAGACCAGGCTGAAGCTAGGAGCTTCTTCCAAGTCTCCGTCATGGGTGTCAGGAACCTAAGCATTTAGGCCACCTTCCACTGCTTTTCTAGGTGTATTAGTGGGGACTTGAATCAGTGCCAAATAGGATGCCAGTGATGTAAGCAGTGGCTGAATCTGCTACACCATAGCACCAGCCCCTCATATATGCCTCTTTTAGTTGGATGTTCAAATTTAAGTCAACTTTTTGGTGAGGTGTTAAGAGACCATTCCACAGAGAAAGCAGAAGTTGAGAACTATTTGAAGCATAAGGTTCTGTGGGAGTAGGCTAGTGGGTGGAAAGATGTATTGAACCAGATTGTTCAGAGTCTTCCTTACCGTACTAAGGAGGAGTGTGGCATTATGAAACCTCATGAAATTTTGAATGCGGATGAAATAAATGCTCAAAATTTGATTTTGGAAAACTGTGGCAGGCAGCAAAATGTATTGAAATAAGACGAGGATTATTAACTAACAGTCATAGGGAAGAAAAGATACAGGCTTAGTGGAAGGGACGGTTTTCAGACATTGCTGGTAGAATTTGAGATGTGTGAGAAAGGAAGAAGTTGGGAACGGGCACAGTGGCCTAGCAGGTAAGTCCTCACCTTGGGGCCCGGCGCCGTGGCGCAAGTGGTTAAGGTCCTCGACTTGCACACCCAGGATCCCATATGGGCGCCGGTTCTATCCCAGCAGCCCCGCTTCCCATCCAGCTCCCTGCCTGTGGCCTGGGAAAGCAGTCGAGGACGGCCCAAAGCTTTGGGACCCTGCACCCGCATGGGAAACCCAGAAGAGTCTCCTGGCTTCAGATCGGCATAGTATCGGCCATTGCGCTCACTTGGGGAGTGAATTATCGGACGGAAGATCTTCCTCTCTGTCTCTCCTCTCTGTATATCCGCCTTTCCAATAATAATAAAAAAAAAACTCATAGAATCTCTTCTCAGAAAAATATACCCTTAAAAGTCCTCACCTTGAACGCACTGGGATCCTATATGGGTGCTGCTTCTAATCCCGGCAGCTCCACTTCCCACCCAGCTCCCTGCTTGTGGCTTGGGAAAGCAGTTGAGGATGGCCCAAAGCCTTCCAAGACCCAGAAGAGGCACCTGGCTTCTTGCTTTGGATTGGCTCAGCTCACCTCCAGCTGTTGCAGCCTCTTGGGGAGTGAATCAGTGGGCAGAAGATCTTTCTCCCTGTATCTTCTCTCTGTATATATGCTTTTCCAATAAAAATAAATATATCTTTAAAAAAATATTAATGGGGGCCCGGCGCAATGGTGCAGTGGTTAAGGTCCTCGCCTTGCACGCCCGGGATCCCATATGGGTGCTGGTTCTAATCCCGGCAGCCCCGCTTCCCATCCAGCTCCCTGCCTGTGGCCTGGGAAAGCAGTAGAGGACGGCCCAAAGCTTTGGGACCCTGCACCCATGTGGGAGACCCAGAAGAGGCTCCTGGCTTCAGATTGGCATAGCATCAGCCCCATTGCGCTCACTTGGGGAGTGAATCATCGGACGGGGGATCTTCCTCTGTCTCTCTTCTCTGTATATCCACCTTTCCAATAAAAATAAAATAAATCTTTTTTTAAAAATATTAACAAATTTTTTAATTTTATGGTTGATTTGCGAGACAAAAAGAGAGATCTTCTATCCATTTGTTCACTCTCCAAGTGGCCACAACAACCAGGGTTGAGACTGATCAAAGCAGGAGCTTCTTCTGGGTCTCCCATGTGGGTTCAAGGACATCAGCCATCTTCCACAGTTTTCACAGGTGTGTTAGCAAGGAGCTAGATCAGAAGTGGAGTGGCTAGGACTTGAATAGGTGCTTGTGTGGGATGTTGCTATTGTTATAGGCTGTGGCTAAACCTGTTTTACCACAGTGCTGTCCTCTGGCACCAGCTCTACCCCTTTTCATACACCACCCACCCAACCCAGGATACTAATCCCATTTAAGGCTTTGCTCTCACTTCTCCAAGAACCCTCCTTTTAGTAGTGTTGTCTTGGGGATGGAGGTAACGCTTAGTTGCAAACATAGTAGAGGTTTGTGAATCATAATGCATTAAAGTAGGATCATGGTAATATATTAACATAAGAAAGTCAGATGTTATGTTCCTTTTAAGTGGTTCCTTCATACTACAAACAGGTGTTAAGGGCCAAAGAACTGCTGCTCAGTTTGCCCTTAGATGATCATGCCATTCAAAGCTATCTTCTGTTGTCCCATTAGCCATTGACCCTCAAAACAAGGCAAAAGAATATTTAAGTTAATTCAGAATAAGGAATTTGCAGAATATCTTTTTGTTAAGTTTGATAACTGAGGTGCTTTTGATGTCATTTAAATGTCAAAGAATATAGAAGACACCACTATCCATTTGTAGCCTAATACTAATGTAAATTACCCTTTTTTTTAGTTGAGTGTTCGAGGTAAAAATAAAAAGGAGAAACTTGAAGATTTCTTTAAAAACATGGTTAAGTCAGCAGATGGAGTAATTGTTTCTGGAGTAAAGGTAAGATTTTTTTAGATTCACAGTGGTATTGGTTGAGAACTCTTTAGAGGGAAATCAATTGAGATATCCAATGTGCTAAAACATAAAACAGTAAAAGAAAACTTTGAACAGTAAAATCCTTGAGTCTGGGAAATGGTACTCCATACTTTGGGTTCCTTTCTAAGAAGTGTTCTTCTCCAGGGGATGTAAAGTTTGTAGTCAAGGGTATTAATCTGCCTGGAACTCATGTTTGTTTCTTCCGATCAGTCCATTGGAAGAAATTGCCCCCAGTGTATTGTCCTGTCCCAAGCCTTCAGGTCTTGTGTGGATAGCTTCCCTGGGTGAACAAGGAGTGACTGTAACAAGGAGCAGCTGGGGATGGAGAGAGAAGGGATGGCAGACAAGACATCAAGCTGGAATGTTTACCTGCCATGCACAAGAGCTCCTTGAGGTGTGGGACAGATTGAGCTGCAGAGTAGCCAAGAGCCTGCCTCTGCTTGTACACTTATCTTTAGCTTACTTAGCCTAGCAACACTCCAAGGTATTCCTAAGTTAAGATTAGAGCTAGAAAAACACAATTGAAGTTTTGGTATGCCTGGGGATAGCTACGTGGAAAAATCATTTTCTTTCACTGAATCCTCAGTTCCTCATTTTGAAGGTTAATAATACTAGCCTAGCTCACAAGATTGTTGCTAAGACTGAATGATAAAGTGTGTGAAAATACTTAGAAAGCTGTTGGTCTAAATTTTCTTAATGACGTTGTAATAATGGCAAAAAATTTAATTTGTTTGCAGTTATTAAAATGAGAAAAATATTATCAGGCAAAAGCTATGAAATAATGGCTCTGGATGCTATTGCTTGTTATTATAGGTAAATATACAATAAAGCTTGAGTATATTCTGTTTAATTAAAATGTACTCTGATTATTCAGAGACAGCACAGTTGGAATATTACTAATGTATGTGTTATTGGTTCTTCCTATTGAAGAATCAACTTCCTTTCATTTTGATGATTCTTATGCATTAATATTAAGCATTTTTTTAAGTTAAGTGTAAATCACTGTTATGATTGTTAACTTTGTTAATGAAAAAACAACTGATGCTTGAACATGAATATAATTTTGATTGATAGCACACTTCACTGTAATTATGGAAAGATAGATTTATCCCACTCTTTACATCTAAAAAAGTCCTTAAGAATTGCTAAATTTTGGGCCAGGTACGGTGGCCTGTAACTAAAGTCCTCGCCTTGAATGAGTTGGATGCCATATAAGTGCTGGTTCTAATCCAGGCAGTCCCGCTTCCCATCCAGCTTCCTGCCTGTGGCCTGGGAAAGCAGTGGCTATGCATCCATGTGGGAGACCCAGAAGAAGCTCCAGGTTCCTGGCTTCAGATTGGCTCAGCTCCGGCTGTTGCAATTGCTGGGGGAGTGGTTCATTGGACAGAAGATCTTTCTCTCTTTCTCTCCTCCTCCCTGTATATCTGTATATCTGACTTTGCAGATTTACAGAGAGAAAGAAAGACAGAGAAAGTTGTTTCGTCCTCTGGTTCACTCCCCAGATGGCCAGAATGACTGAAGTTGAGCTGATCCAAAGCCAGGAGCTTCCTGCAGATCTCCCACATGGATGCACGGTCCCAAGGCCTTGAGCCATCCTTGACTGCTTTCCCAGGCCACAGCACGGAACTAGAGAGGAAGTCTAGCATCTGGAGTACAAACCAGCACCTGTATGGGATCCCAGTGTGTGCAAGGTGAGGACCTTAGATACTAGGCTATTGTGTTGACCCTATGAATTGCCAAATTTTTAAAAAATTTCATTTGAAAAACACAGTGATAATCAATGAGAGAGCGAGCTTCTTCCATCTGCCGATTTACTCCCAAATGGCCACAATAGCCAGGGTCGTTTTGACCAAAGCCAGGAGGTAGGAACTCCATCCAGGTCTCCCATATGTAGCAGGCCCCAAGCACTCTTGTTCTCTTCTGTTGCTTTCCCTGGCGTGTTAAAAGGAAGCTTGATTGAAAGTGGAGCAGCCAGGACTTAAAACAACACCAGCTGGGCCATGATGCTGGCCCCTAAATTTTAAGTTGTGTTTTTTTTGTTTGTTTTCGTTTATTTACTTTTATTGAAAAGGTAGATTTACAGAGAAAGTAGAGACAGAGAAAAGATCTGTCAGTTAACTTCCCAACTGGCCACAATAGCTGCAGCTAAATTGATGCCACATCGATGCAGGGTCCAAAGGCCACCCTCTGCTGCTTTCCCAGGCCATAAGCAACGAGCTGGATCAGAAGTGGAGCAGCTGGGACACAAACCGGTGCCCATACCGGATGTTAGGGCTTGCAGGCAGATGATTAGTGCTTTAAGCCATTACATCTGCCCAGAATTAGAAGTTTTAAATGATGTTTTGTCAGTAGCAACTCTTGCTATTTGTGTTTTGTTGATATGGTCTTCAAATTACCTCATATCAACTGACTTTCTTCCAGTGAATGGTTGCTAATTTAGAAAGGAAAAAGTTCCATTTAGTTTTAGTATGTAGTTAGCCTGACTTAAAAAAAGAAAGAAAGAAAAACAAGGAGCATGGTTTGATGGCTCAGTTGATTAATCCTCTCACTCCAAGCATGGCATTCCATATGGGAACTGATTGGGATCACGGATGCTCCACTTCCCTTCCAGCTCCCTACTTTGTGGCCTGGGAAAGCAGAAGAGGGTGGGTGGCTCAAAGCCTTGGGACATACCCTGCACTCTTGTGGGAGATCCAGAAAAAGCTCCTGGCTTCAGATTAGCTTGGGAGTAAACCAGAGGATAGAAGATCTTTCTCTCTATAAATCTGCCTTTCCAATAAAGAGTAGTAAATCTAAGAAAAAAAGTGTTTGACCTGACCATTGTTCCCAGGTAGCTAACTTGACCATGTTCCCCAAAGCTATTGGTGAGAGCCGTAATGGGCGAGGCCAGGAAGCCAAAGAATGCATTCTAGATTAAAAACAAAACCATATATTTTTGCTTCAGTATGCCCTGATTTTTTTTTTTTTTTCGTTCTCAAAAACAATTTGTTCATCCTCACCACAGATACAGTGAAGGTGAAGAAAATGGATTGTCCATCAGCATATGGCTCATTCAAACATTAGTCATTATTTTACCAATTAAGTTGTCAAAATCATGGTCAACAGTAGTGGTACTAGCTAAGAAAAATGTTTGTGTTAATGCGTAAGAAGCATCAAAATGTAAGGAAATTAAATCCTGGTTGCAAAAAGCCATAGAATACTCATGATCGGCAGAAGGGTTTGCTGGGCAAGCATGTCACAAGCAAAACCTTTTTCAGCATGTAGTGTGTGAACATGAACTTGGTAAAGAACACTGAGTTTAACTACAAATACCATAGGTTTCTTAACAGAAATACGTGTCTTACAAATTCTTAACTTATTGATGAAATCAGTAGATCATTTGGTTAACAGAGAATAGCTGTACTGTTTCACTGGTGATCTTGTGTAACACGAAGTGATTTATGTATGACATTACAACAAATAAGTGAAAAAATGCACATTTTCTGTTGATCCTATAGGATGTAGATGATTTCTTTGAGCATGAACGAACATTTCTTTTAGAATATCATAACCGGGTTAAGGATGCATCGGCTAAATCTGACAAGATGACAAGATCCCACAAAAGTAAGATTTTTCTCTTGTTAATGCTTACATTTTGAATCTCACAAGTATAACATTGGCATGTTGTTTACAGTTTCTAAGAGTTTTGTTATAGAAAAGTGATTTCTTGAACTGGTTCATGAAATTTGGATCTCAAGACCTTTGAACCTTTTAGAGTGAGTCTGTGAATTAAAACATTTCATTAAAACATTGTGATAATTTTATCTTTGTTACTGTGTAACACAGAAATTACAAAAGAAAAAATGAGTATAACTGCTGATGTCTTGAGACAGTGGCACCAAGCTGCACTGATAGTTACTGTCTTTTTTTTTTTTAATTTTATTTATTTTTATTGGAAAATCAGATTTACAAAGAGACTGGAGACTCAGAAAAATCTTCCGTCCTCTAGTTCATGCCACAAGTAGCCCCAGTGGCCAAGAGCTGAGTCGATCTGAAACCAGGAGCCTGGAGATTCTTCCAGGTCTGCCACACAGGTGCAGGATCTCAAAGCTTTGGGTCTTCCTCCTGTTTTCCCAGGCAACAAGCAGGGAGCTGAAAAGGAAATGGAGCAGCCAGGATATGAACCAGCACCCATATGGGATCCCAGTGCGTGCAAGGCGAGGACATTAGCCACTAGGCTATGGCACTGGGCCCGATAGTTGCTGTCTTCTCATCAGACACTTAAGAATTCTAAAAAGTGGGACTTAACATTAAGAATATCCTTGATGAAACAATGAATATAACTATAATAAGGAACTGTGCAGTGAATAAAGCCACTGGAATGCCTTATGAGCACTAGTTTGATTCCTACCTACTCCAGGTTCAGGGTAACACACTTGGGAAAGCAGCAGAGAATGACTCAAGTCTTTGAGCTGTAGCTCACATGAGAGACCTAGAAGCAGCTCCTGGCTCTTGGCTTCAGTACAGCTCAGCTCAGGCCATTGTGGCCTTTTGGGGAATAAACCAGTAGATGGAAGTTGTCTCTCTGTAAATCTACCTTTCTGATAAAAATAAATAAATCTTTTTAAAAATGCATTTAGTAAATAAGAGAAGAAGCTTTAAAAATACTTATAATAAAAATATACTCTTAAGACCACGTTGTTTTGTATTCGAAGTAATGAAATCAAAGATATGTGTAAAGCACTTTTTATATACTAAAGCACTGAAGTATGAAAGTTTTCTTTGAAAGTGTAGCAATTGAGATGAGCAGTTTGTGCATAGTAGGTAGGTTAAGCATCTGGCTTCTCTTATGATCCAGCTCCCAGATGGTGCACCTGTAAAAGCAATGAAAGATAGCCCAAGTGCTTGTGTCCTTGTACACATGTGGCACCCCCAATGAGGCTCCTTGGTTCTGGCTTCAGACCAGCCCAACTCCAGCGATTGTGGCCATTTTGGGAGTGAACCAGTGGATGGATGGAGGATCTCTTTCCTTTCCAACCCTCCCCCATCTCTCTTTCTGTTAACTTTGCCCCTTTTTTTTTTCTTTTGTAAGACTTATGTTTGGATCGGTGTAGTGGAATAACAGGCCACTCCTTTGTCCTGTGGTTCTGGCATCTCAAATGAGTGTCACTTCTATTCCAGCTGCTCCACTTCTAATCCAGCTCTCTGCTTGTGGCCTCGGAAAGTAGCAGAGGATGGCTCAAGTCCTCGGGATACTGCATCCATGTGGGAGGAGACCTGGAGGAGGCTCCTGGCTCCCAGCTTCAGATCAGCTCAGCTCTGGCTTTGCAGCCATTTGAGGAGTAAACCAGTGGATGGAAGATCATTTTCTCGATGTGTCTTCTCCCTCTGATAAATCTACCTTTCAAATACAGATAAATCTTTTCTTAAAAAAGATTTATTTCTTCAATTGAAAGACAGAGTGAGGCCCAGAGTGATAGCGTAATGGTTAAGGTCCTCGCCTTGAACACGCCCGGGATCCCATATGGGCGCCGGTTCTAATGCTGGCAGCCCCGTTTCCCCTCCAGCTCCCTGCTTGTGGCCTGGGAAAGCAGTAGAGGACGGCCCAAAGCCTTGGGACCCTGCACCCACATGTGGGAGACCCAGAAAGAATTTCCTGGCTCCTGGCTTCGGGTTGGCACCGGCCACTTGGGGAGTGAATCATTGGACGGAAGATCTTCCTCTCTGTCTCTCCTCCTCTCTGTATATCTGCCTTTGCAATAAATTAAATAAATCTTAAAAAAGAAAGAAAGAAAGACAGAGTGACAGAGGTCTTACTTGCTAATTCACAACCAAAATGACAATAGCTAGGTCTGGGCCAGCTGAAACCAGAACCTACAAATTCCAGGTTGGTCTCACATATGAGTGTCAGGTTTCCAAGTACTAGAGCTATCTTCCATTGTCTTCCCAGTCACATTAGCAGGAGTTGGGTCACAAGCTGAGCATCCAGGACTTGAACTGTTGCGTATGGCAGGTTAACTCATTTACACTGCAATGCTGGCCCCTCAACTGTGTCAACTGATCTGCCAGATGCTGGCTCCACAATTTTTTTTTCTTCAGATTGGTTGATTGCTTTTGAAAAATCAAAGTCACAGGCCCAGTGAAGTGGTCTAGTAACTAAAGTCCTCACTTTGAACACTCTGGGATCCCATACAGGTGCCGATTCTAATCCTGGCAGTCCCGCTTTCCATCCAGCTCCCTGCTTGTGGCCTGGGAAAGCAGTCAAGGATGGTCCAAAACCTTGGGATCCTGCACCCATGTGGGAGACCTGGAGGAGGTTCCTGGCTCCTGGTTTTGGATCTGCGCAGCTCTAGCCGTTGCAGTCACTTGGGGAGTGAATCATCAGACGGAAGATCTTCCTCTCTCTCATCTCTGTATATCTGACTTTGCAATAAAAAATAAATAAATCTTTTAAAAAGAAAAAAGAAGAAAGAAAGGAAATCAAAGTCACAGAGATCTTCAGTCTGCTGGTACACTCCCAAGCCAGGGCCAGGCTGAGGGCAGGAGCTAAGAGCTTCATCCAAGTTTACCACGCTGGGGGCAGGGACCCAAGCATTTGGGCCATCTTGAGTAAGGAGCTGGATTTTTGAGTAGCACAGCAGGAACATGAACTGACACCTGTACGAGATGCCAGCATCACAGGCACTAGACTTAACCCCTAGTTACTATTTTTTAATATTAAACTTTTAGATTAACATAATAGTAAAGAATCTCACAGAAGAGATCTTTTATTCAGAATCTGAAGTTTATACTCAATGTTTTTTTTTTAAAAGAAACCAATTAGTTCTGCCTTGACAAATAGTCACCAAATTTCAGCCTTATTAGTTAAATGTAATTTTTGGCAACACAAGGGTTAGTATTTTTAAAAAATACTTATGTGAGGTCAGTGGGATAACATAGAGGGTAGCACACTATGTGTGGTGCCCAGTATCCTGTACAGGTACCCTTTAGAACCCGGCTGCTTCATTTCTGATCCAGCTCCCTTATAACGCGTCTGAGGAAGCAGCACAAGATGGCCAGGTTCTCGGGCCCCTGCTTCCATGTGGAAGACCCAGGGAAAGCTCCAGTCTCCTGGCTTTGGACTGGAGAATGACAGTGAGTGGAGAGTCTCTCTGTCTCTCTTCATCCTCTCTTTTCAGCTCTGCCTTTCAAATAAATAAAATCTAAAAAAAAAAAAAAAATTCCCAAATGTCATGTGTATATTTGAAAGAATGATAGGGAGAAACCCATCTTCCATCTGCTTGTTCACTAATACCTTCAGTAGCTGGGGTTGGGCCAGGCCAAAGCCAGGAGTCCAGAACTCCATGTGGGTCTTTTACATGGTTTGCAGGGACTCAAATGATATCTGCTGTTTTCCCAGATACGTTAGTAGGACGCTGTATCAGAAATAGAGTCACAAGGGCTTGACCCAGGTGTTCTGAAATGAAATATAACCTATGATGTAACCCATTGTAACACACCCCCAAAGGATAACTGTTTTATTTAGAAATAAACACTTGTAGAAATATTGCTAGTATAATTGGGAGTTTCCATGCATAATGTCTTGGACTTTGTTAATTGATAAAGAAACAGGGCCCAGCAGAAAAGCTCAATGGCTAGCGCTGTAATCCCATATGGGCACTGGTTTATGTCCTGGCTCCTCCACTTCCCATCCAGCTTCTTGCTTGTGGCCTGGGAAAACAGTAGAGGATGGCCTACGGCCTTGGAACCCTCCACCCATGTGGGAGACCTGGAGGAAGCTCCGGGCTTTGGATCAGCTCAGCTCCAGCTGTTACCACTATTTGGGAGGTAAACTAGCAAATGGAAAAACCTTGTCTTTCCTCTCTGTAAGTCTGTCTGTCCAATAAAAATAAATAATATATTTTTTTAAATAAAGGAAATATTTCTGTGGTATCATGTTACTATGCACTGTGTAGCTACATACATTTATTTTGATCTGAAAGGAAGATTTACAGAGACAGAAGGAGAAACACAGAGAGATATCTTCCATCTGTTGTTTACTCCCCAAATGGCTGACACGGCTGGAGCTGAGCTGCTCCAAAGCCAGGAGCCTGGAGCTTCTTCTGGGTCTCCCAAGTGAATGCCACGGCCCAAGGCTTCACCATTTTTGAGTGCTTTCCCAGGCGCATTAACAGGGAGCTGGATTAGAAGTGGAGCAGCTGGGACTCAAAACACTGCCCACAATGGATGCCAGCTTTCAGGCTACAGTTACACCTTGGTGCTAACTGCATACAGTCTGAGAAGACTGTTGCCCCGTGGAGAGACCCTTACCTAGGAGGAGTGTTGTGCTTAAGCGAAGCACTTTGCTTCCGAGCAGCTGAGAGCAAGAGTGCCACTATTGTTCCCAAGCTCCATAACTTTGCTTTTTACCTCATGTTTGCTCTTTGGAAAATCCTACTTGTTAAAACTTTCCTCTTATGCTGCCCCTCAGAATCTTTTGCCAGATTATTGTAACAGTTTCTTGGTTGATAACCTTATTCTCTGTGTTTCTCAAAGTATCAAGTGCTTTATATTTCATATACATTTATTTATTTTCATTCTGTTTGAATGAAAGAGTCTGATGAAGAGAGATCTTCTGTCTACTGGTTCACTTTCCAAATGTCTGTAACAGCTAAGGCAGAGTCTGGATGAAGTCAGAATCCTGGAATTCAGTGTGGGGCTCCTGTGTGAGTGGTGGAGACTCAAGTTTACTGAATCCATCATCTGCTTCTTCCCAGGGAACACATTTGAAGGAAGCTGGGTAGGAAGCAGTATCTGGGGCTCTAGGTAGCTCTCAGATAGGAGCCTCCTGAGCAACCATTTGACTGCTCTGCCACATACCTTCCCTGCAGAATTTCCCCAGTACTGTGACTTAAGCATGTTTAATGACATCCATTCACAGAAATCAAATCCAAACTCTGTCATGACCCACAAGGGCTTTTTGCCCAGAAAGTTTTGAACTTTCCCGTCTTCAGCTCTGCCCACTCCCCTGTGAATTTACGATATGTAACTCACAAGGCTCTTTGAGTATACTTTGCTGTCTTAATGTCTTTCTGGCCTTTACCCATGTCACTTTGTTTATCCAGAATGCTCTCCCTTTGCCTAGTAAATGTCTGTTCATCCTACAAGCTTTAACTAGCTCATTCTGTTCATCTGTTTCCCCTACTTTCCAAGTAGTTTTATGTCTGATATAATATGCATCATATGGCATTATGGTTGGTTGTGTTTTCTTTGCTAGACTTTGGGTATCATATTTTACATTGCTGGCAGATAGTATTTAGTATTTTTAAACCAATGTATACATTAAATTCTTAAAACTTTTTCTATAGGTGCTGCAGATGATTACAATAGAATTGGTTCATCATTATATGCTTTAGGAACTCAGGATTCTACAGATATATGCAAGTAAGGATTCTAATTAAAACCATCAAATATAAGTAAAACAGGAAAGTTTCTTTTGGCAGCCGAGATGCCCACAATACTTCTGACAGCAGGCAGACATTTTGGATTATTTTTGTCAAAACACATTGATAAGGAGCATTATGATGAACTTGGATCAATAAATTTTTTATTCTCTTTCTCATATTTTTAAGATTTGGGAAATGAAAGTGGACTTTAGTGTATAATTTTAATATTTACAATGTTTTATTTAACTAAAATATACTGATTTCTGTGACTATATAAGAATTTATTGCTGTTAGGTTTTGATAGTTTATCATAAATGCTGTTTTGAATTATGTGTGTATGATTGTGTATGTATATGTATTTCATTGAAGGCCAAATTAATATTTTTTAAAAACATTTAATTATTCATTGGAAAGTCAGATATACAGAGAGGAGGAGAGGCAGAGAGGAAGATCTTCCATCCAATGATTCACTCCCTAAGTAGCCGCAATGGCTGAAGCTGAGCCAATCAAAAGCCAGGAGCCAGGAACTTCCGGGTCTCCCATGTGGGTGCAGGGTCCCAAAGCTTTGACTGCTTTCCCAGGCCACAAGCAGGGAGCTGGATGGGAAGTGGAGCAGCCGGGATTAGAACCAGCACCCATATGGGATCCCAGAGCATTCAAGGCGAGGGCTTTAGCCGCTAGGCCACACCGCCAGGCCCCCAAATTAAATTTTAAAGTAAAATTTGATCCTATCATTTTTACTTTTTAAAAGATACAAGCTTTCTAAAATTTATTCATTTATTTTGGTTCAAGAAGGTTTTTTATGTTGTTTATTCTTGTTTATTTGAAAGGTGAGGTTGGGAAAGAAAAGAACGTGCTGTTAATCTTCCAGTTAATGGTTCATTCCCCAGCTGTTGGGACCAGGTCTGGCTGAACCACAACCAGGAGCCAGGATCTTCCACGGATTCAAGTGCTTGGGCTTCTGCTGCCTCCTGTGTACCTTAGCAGGAAGCTCAATGTTAAATGGGGGCAGGCCTCAATCCTAGGTGCTCCTCCCTGGAATGTAGCAGTCTACCCCAGCATCTTCCTGCTGTTTTCATTTTTGTAGTGAATCTTAAAGTAATTCTAGAATGACCCAGTGAAGATATTGCATATGTTAGTATAATGAAGTACTTTGGAGGTTTGGTTACAATAGCTGGTTTTTGGTTGTTTTTTGTTTTCTTCTTTTCTTCCTTCATTCTTCTTTTCTTTCTCTCTTTTGCTTTTGCCTCTTCTTCTTTCTTTCAAAAAATTAATTTATTATTTAATTTGAGAGGGCTCCATTCTCCAGCTCATTCCTCAAGTGCCTGTGGGGCTTAATCCAGGAACCAGAAACAGTTTTCTCATACAGATGGCAGGAACCCAACCACTTGAGTCATCAAACTGCTGCTTCCTAAGACCTATAGTAGCAGTCACAGCTACAGGCATACACTCCAAAATATGTAATGCAGACCCTTATACTTAAACCAAATGTCTACCTGCCCCATATAGCTATTCTGTAGTTTATGCTAGGTTTTCATTCTAACAGTAATTTTAGTTGTTCCTGCAGTTTTGTTTAAACTCTTTATTGAAAAATATGTAAGCATTTTTAATTGAAAAAGGTATTTTCAAAAGTCTCTTTTTCCAGATAATATCCTTGAACTTTTCTCCAGTATATTCTGTTGCAGTAGACATTTAAGAGCCAAACAAGCTTAATTCTTAACAAAAACAAAAAATACCCACATTTATTTGAAAGAGGGACAGAAAGAGATTTTTCATGTTCTGGTTCAGTCTCCAGATGGATACAGTATCCACTTCTAAGGCCTGGAGCCAGGGACTCCATCCTGGTCTCCTCCACAGTGACAGTAGTACAACTGCTTGGGACATCTTTTGTTGCCTTTCCAGGTGTGTTAATGAGAAGCTGCATAAGAAATGAAGCAGCTGAGACTCAGTTCAGTACTCCAATAATGGTATAGTGGTGTCACCAGGAACAATTTCACTTATACCCCAACATTATCCCTACAAGCTTATTCTGTTTTAAGGCAGCTGTATTTCCTGTCAGGAAACTTTAAGAACTATTCCAGCTTTGGTGTATTCCTGTTAAATTAGACTCTGTCTCATTCAATGTTATTACTTTGTAATTTTTCTGCAATTTTACAGGTGCAGATTTTGCTTGGTATTTGTATGATCTATTACTAAATAATATCAAAGTAAATGTTCGGTTTAAGATTAATGTTCAACTTAGACCTCCTTCTAGAAATTAAATGGGTGTATTTTCTATAACAAATCTCAAGCAATCTGTTGTATAGGTGGGAGCATGGGGAGAATTTTCTTAAACTAAATGAAGTTTTCAGTTAACAAGACTATTAAATGTTATTGTAGTGAGATTATGTTACTAATATAGTTGAATGTATATTCTATGAACAGTTATATCAAAATTGCTTCAAATGTAACACCTCATGAAAATATTGTTATCTTCCAGGTTTTTCCTCAAAGTTTCAGAACTGTTTGATAAAACCAGAGTAAGTACTAAATCCCAGAGTCTGCTATTATGCCTATGATATGGTTAACAGTATTTCATTGTATGCTTTAAAATCTGTTAAAAGGGTGAATTTTATGTTAAGTGTTATTACCATAAATTTTGTTTACAAAAAAATTATTGGCCTAGCTCTGTTGTTTAATGAATAAAACCACTGTGTGCACCAGCGTGCCATATGAGCACCAGTTTGACTCCTGACTGCTCCACCTCCAGTTCAACTCCCTGCTAATATGTTTTGGAGAAAGCAGTAGAAGGTGGCTCAAGACCTTGGGCACTGCACCTGCTCCTAGCTCCTGGCTGCAGATCAGCCCCGCACCGACCATTGTGGCCATTTGGGAAGTGACCCAGCAGATGGAAAATGTCTCGGTTTTTTCTCTCTGTGTCACTCTCTTTCTTTCTCATTTGCTCTCTCTCTCATTCTTCCTCTCTCTTTCTTTAGCTCTGCCTTTAAATAAATAAATAATTTAGAAACAAAACAAAATAACTATTAGCCAGGAGTGGGAAATGTCTTGTTCACAGGCTGTATAAGCCCTGCAAAATTATTGATATGGTTCAGTCAAGGCCACAAGTAGGACTCAAAAATTAGTAAATCTTTGGCTTCTGGATGGTGTTATAAATATCCAAATAGCCTGTGTCAGAAAAAGGGTTGCCTACCCCTGCATAACCTTTAGGAATTTATACCTCTGCAGACTGTAGTATTAACTTCTGTGATTGCATTCAACTTCATTCAGATAAAAGTATTCACTTCAGGAAGATAATGAGATATATTTGAGATATATTAAGAGTTTTTATTTTATACATCAGTTACAGAGAGACCTTTTTTTAAAAAAAAAGATTTATTTATTTTTACTACAAAGTCAGATATACATAGAGAGAGGAGGAGAGACTGAGAGCAAGATCTTCCCTCTGATGATTCACTCCCCAAGTGACCACAACGGCTGGTGCTGTGCTGATTCAAAGCCAGGAGCCAGGAACCTCATCCATGTCTCCCACACGGGTGCAGGATCCCAAGTATTTGGGCCGTCCTCAACTGCTTACCCAGGCCACAAGCAGAGAGCTGGATGGGAAGTGGAGCTGCTGGGATTAAAACTGGCACCCATATGGGATCCCGGTGCTTCAGGGTGAGGACTTTAACCACTAAGCCATTGTGCCGGGCCCAAGACCTTCTTTCTATTCATTTGTTCACTGTGCAGATGGCTGCAATGGCCAGCATGACTGGGCCAAACTGAAGCCAGGCGCTTCTTCTGGGTCTCTCACAAGGGTGGCAGGGCCCAGGTATTTAAGTTATTATGGATTGCCTTACCAGGCCATTAACAAGGAGCTGGATTGGAAATGGAGCAACTAGGACATCAAGTAGCACCCATATGGGTTACCTTATTATGCCACAACACTGGCTCCCCAAAAGCTAGTATTCTTGGTTAGAAAACATTCATTAGGGCCTGGTGGCATGGCCTAGCGGCTAAACTCCTTACCTTGAACGCTCCGGGATCCCATATGGACCCCAGTTCGAATCCCAGCAGCTCCATTTCCCATCCAGCTCCCTGCTTGTGGCCTGGGAATGCAGTCAAGGATGGCCCAATTCTTTGGGACCCTGCACCCGTGTGGGAGACCTAGAGGAAGTTCCTGGCTCCGCATCAGCACAGCACCGGCCGTTGCAGTCACTTGGGGAGTGAATCATCAGAGGGAAGATCTTCCTCTCTGCCTCTCCTACTCTCTGTATATCTGACTTTGTAATAAAAATAAATAAATCTTTAAAAAAAAAAAAGAAAAGAAAACGTTCATTAGTCAGACTTTTTATGAAGAGAAAGTTTTGATTTTGTAACTTTAACAATACCGTATTGTTTTTGTTCCCCCTAAAAGATTGACTTTTTTTTTTTTATAAGAAAAGAAACGTCTATTTATTTTTATTGGAAAGGCACATTTACAGAGAGGACAGAGAGAAAGATCTTTCATCCGCTAGTTTGTTCCCTAAATGACCACAATGGCCGGAGGTGAGCCAATCCAAAGCCAATAGCAGGAAAGTCTTTCTGGTCTCTTGTGCAGCTGCAGGGTACCAAGGCTTTGGGCCATCCTTGACTGTTTTTACAGGCTGCAAACAGGGAGCTGGATGGCAAGTAGAGAAGTTGGGACATGAACCAGCAACCATATGGAATTCTAGTGCATGCAAGGAGAGGATTTAACAAAACAAGCCATCGTGCTGGGCCCTAAGAGATTGATTTAAAAGAGATCATGTACACTTGAGTAAAAATTGAACTGATGGCAGTAATAATTTAATATTGTCAGTCTTGATTTATGCAGACATCAGCCATCAATATATTAATATTTAACAGAATAGAGCTGCATCATAAAACAGCCCTATGTTTATTTAAGGCCCCGGAAAAGTGAATATCAAGATAAGGTTAAGGTACAAAGGATTTTTTTTTTTTTTTTTTTTTTTGAAAAATGAGGAGGGCCCGGCATGGTGGTCGAGCTCGCCGCCTTGATTGTTCCAGGATCCCATATGGGCACCAGTGTTAATCCTGGCAACTCCACTTCCCATCCACCTCCCTGCTTGTGGCTTGGGAAAGCAGTTGAGGATGGTCCAAAACCTTGGAACCCTGCACCCGTGTGGGAGACCCGGATGAGGTTCCTGGCTCCTGGCTTTGGATTGGTGCAGCACCAGCCATTGCAGTCACTTGGGGAGTGAATCATCAGAGGGATGATCTTCCTCTCTGTCCCTCCTCCTCTCTGTATATCTGACTTTGCAATAAAAATAAATTAATTTTTTAAAAATAAGAGAGAAACATGGGCCCAGCGGTGTGGTCTAGTGGCTAAAGTCCTCGCCTTGAATGCGCCAGAATCCCATATGGGCGCCAGTTCTAATCCAGGCAGCTCCACTTCCCATCCAGCTCTCTGCTTGTGGCCTGGGAAAGCAGTTGAGGATGGCCCAAAGCTTTGAGACCCTGCACCCACGTGGGAGACCTGGAAAGAAGTTCCTGGTTCCTGGCTTCTGATCGGCGCAGCACCAGTCATTGCGCTCACTTGGGGAGTGAATCATCAGAGGGAAGATCTTCCTCTCTGTATATCTGACTTTGTAATAAAAATAAATAAATAAATCTTTAAAAAAAGAGAGAGGAAGAGAGAAAAACAAGGAGGAAAAAAGAACCTTTGGGCTGCAGTATAGGTTTGACAGTATATAAGGTAGAGGAAAAGTCTCAGGGCTGTATAGCAATTTTAAGGGAGTTCCCCAAGCCAGAGGAGCCAGTTGGAGAAGTGCCACATTAGGCAAGATTGGGCGGGCCTTCCTGTTCCCTATGTTATGTTGAATTCAACCAATGCAGGTGAGGGTGGAATGGGGTTGGAACATAGCCTTGGTGTGTACACAGTTCTAAGTCTATAGAGATTGTAGTGGCACAGAGACTTACTATGTTCCTTTCAGCAGTTTCTCTTTAAGGAGATGCTAGTAGTTTTTCCTTGGATACTATAGCACTCTGGTTTTGTGCTGAAACAGGCCATCCTGAAACCAGGAATGTAAATTCAGAAAGAGCAGGGAGCGCTTTCCTCTGCACTCTGATACCTGGAGCTGAGGGAAGATAGGAAGACTGAGCTAGAATTATCTGAAGGCTCTTTTACTGCCACATCAGGGAAAGGTTGAAGTGATGCTGGCTGTTCATTAGGACTTTTGCTGGCACTCTTGGCTGGAACACCTATGTCTGGCAGTGAAGCAGTTAGATTACCTTTGCAGCATGATGATTAGGTTCCAAAAGTAAGTGTGCCAACTAACAGAAAGTGGAAACTGATGATTTTTCTTAAACCCTTGGAAGTTAGAGTGACAGAGGTTATTACAGGGAAAAATAGAGATCTTCCATGTGCTTTGTCACAGCCACAGTGGCTGGAACTGAGACAGACTGAAGCCTAGGAGTCTACCGTGACTCCCATGGGTGGCATGGTCCTGAACACCTGTGCTGCTTTTCCCAAATGCATTAACAAGGAGATGGAGGCTGAGCAACTGAGACTCAAACTGGAGCTCTGACAATCTTTTTTTTTTTCTTTTAAGGGTTAGAATTGTTTTAAGGGGCCAGCATGGTGGTATAAGCAGCTGACTTTCTGCCTGTGGTGCCAGGGTCCCATGTGGGTGTTGGTTCATGTACTAGCTGTTACACTTAAATCCAGCTCCCTGTCTGTGGTCTGGGAAAGAAACAGAAATTGGCCCAAAACATTGGGCTCTTGTGCCCATGTGGGAGAACCAGAAGAAGCTCCTGGCTCCTAGCTTCAGACCAGTCCAGCTGTAGACATTGCAGCCATTTAGAGAGTGAACCAGTGGATAAAAGACCTCTCTCTCTGTGTGTCAGATCTGCCTTTTGAGTAAAATAAATAAATCTTTCTAAAGGAATTAGTTTGGAAGATTATGTATTTATTATTTGAAGGCAGAGTTAGTAGAGAAAAGAAACACATCCACTGATTTTGCTTTTCAGGTACGGACAGGTGTGGCAGAAGCTAGGAACCAGGAGATTGTTGCAGGTGTGTCGTAAGAATAACAGGGCCAGAAGTATTTGGGCCATCTCCCACTGCTTTCCCGGGCACATTAGCAGGGAGCTGGAAGTAGAGCTCCAGGGGTTCAAATTGACATTTCAATGACATGCTGACCTTCAGTTACCGTTGAAGAAAATGAAGCTGAATGGCAGTATTGAAACACATGATAGCCAAGTACTTTGAATCAGATATGAAGTTCGTATAGTCGTTTTATTTGATGTAATGTTTTCAAATTTGAGTGTTGCAAATTTTTTTATAGATTCAGTGTTTTCACAGTAATTAAGGAAAGTGCTCAGAGCAGAATTTAATTACTAACTAAATGCCTGCCTGACTTCCTTTTTCAGAAGATAGAAGCACGAGTGTCTGCTGACGAGGACCTCAAACTTTCTGATCTTTTGAAGTACTACTTGAGAGAATCTCAAGCAGCTAAGGTAATTTTCATCGTTTTGTTTGTTTGCTTGAATATTAATTTTATTGGAAAGGCAGATATACAGAGAGAAAGATGTTCAGACCACTTTTCACTCTCCAAGTGGTCACAATGACCAGAACTGAACCAATCCAAAGACAGCAGACAGGAGCCTCTTCCCAATCTCTCATGCAGGTGCAGGGTCCCAAGGCTTTGGGCCATCATCAGCTGCTTTCCCAGGCTCCAGGTTGGGAGCTGGATGGGAAATGGGGTTGCTGGGATTAGAACCGGCGCCCATATGAAATCCTATCATGTGCAAGGTGAGGACTTTAACTGTTAGGCTACTGCACCATGCCCAATTTTTTCTTTATTATTCTTTTATTTTAATTTTTTAAAGATTTATTTATTTTTATTGGAAAGGCAGATATACAGAGAGGAGCAGAGACACAGAGGTAGATCTTCTGTCAGATGGTTCACTCCCCAAGCAGCCACAACAGCCGGAGCTGAGCCGATCCAAAGCCAGGAGCCAGGAGCTTCCTCCAGGTCTCCCATGCGTGTGCAGGGTCCCAAGGCATTGGACCATCCTCGACTGCCCTCCCAGACCACAAGCAGGGAGCTAGATGGAAAACGGAGCTGCTGGTATTAAAACCGGTGTCCATATGGGATCCCAGCACATTCAAGGCGAGGATTTTAGCCATTAGACCACCACGCCATACCCTGGAAGACTTTTCTTTGTTTTTCTTTCTCTGTGTAAATCTGACTTTCCCATTACAAAAAATCTTTTTTTTTTAAAAAAAAAAAAAAAACTCCCCTATAAACATTTGATTTAATACAAACTAGAATTTGTATTTTTGAAGATTGTGTTTTTTTATTTGGAAGGCAGAATTGGGGAAAGATAAATCTTGTATCCACTGATTCACTTCCTAAATGGTCCCAGGATTTAGGAACTTCATCTAGGGTTCCCATGTGGGTGAAAGAGCCCTTGGGCTTGGGCCATGTTCCATTGTTTTCCCAGGCTCATTAGCAGGGAGCTGGATCAGAAATAAAACAGCCAGCCTCAAACTGGTTGTCACGTGAGATGTCAGTCTTACAGGCAGTGGCCTAATCTGGTATGCCACACTGCCGGTCCCAGAGCTGATAGCTTCATAATATTCCTATTAATAAACATGATTTATCTCTAAATCTTTTTAGTTCTTAATTTCTGGGACTGGTCTTGTGGCAAAGTGGGTAAAACTGCCATATGCAGTGCCAGGATCCCATATGGTCACTGGTTTGAATTTCCACTGTTCTACTTCTGATCCAGATTCCTGCTAATGTGCCTGGGAGAGCAGTAGAAGATGATAGCTCAAGTCTTTGGACTCTTGTACTTAGATGGGAGACCAGAAGAAGCTCCTGGCTCCTGGCTTCTCCATGTGGCCCACTCTGGCTATTGCACCCATTTGGGGAACAAGCATGTATTGTTTAAAAAGAAAAAAAAATTAATTTTCTTTCATGAGAGATTTATAGCTTTTCTCATACAAATCTATAATGTTTTGTGAAATTAATGTTTTTTCATTTTGAGGATTGTTAGTGGAAATGGCATTATATTTTTAATTTCAAATTTACCTGTTTGTCACTGGCACATAGGAAAACAGCTGATTTTTGTCTACTAACATGAAATCCTATGATCTAGCTAAAATCCTTTTGTTAGTTTCAGGAGTTTTTTGGGGGTCAGGTTTCTGTTTCATTTTTCCAGATTTTATGTGTGTATATATGTAAGACAGTCAGCTATTAAGAAAGATAGTTTTGTTTAATTTTTTGAGAATCAAAAAGCTCCCAACTCTTTCCCAGATACGTACAACAAACTGGGCTGAGGCCAGATCCGGGAGCCAGAAATACAAGCCAGGGCTACTGTGTTGGTGGCAGCATCACTGCTGTCTCCAAGGGTCTGCACTGCCATAGACACAGAGTCAGGAGCAAGACAGGGAATCAAACCCATGGACAAGATATAAGTGTCTGGTAACATTGACGTTGAATACCTTCTCACAACACCAAGATGTATTAATTCAGGATGTGTCAAACCATATTTGTAAGAGATAGAGTTGTGACCAATGTATTGGCTCAACTAGCTAAATCTTCATCTCTGACGACAAGGATCCTATATGGGCATATGTACGTACTCCAGCTGCTCCACTTCCCATCCAGCTCCTTGTTTCTGGCTTGGGAAAGCAGTGGAGAATGGCCCAAGTCCAAGGGACCCTGCACCCACGTGAGAGACTCAGAGGAGACTCTTGGCTCCTGACTTCAGATTGGTTCAGCTGTGGCCATTATGACCATCTGGGGAGTGAACCAGCAGATGGAAGATCTTACTGTCTTTCCTTATCTTGATAGATCTACCTTTCCAGTAAACCTAAATAAATCTTTTTTGTTTTGCTTTGTTGTAAGATTTATTTAGGTTGACTGGAAAGAGCTAAAAGAGGAGAGACCAAGACAAATGTCTTCTATTTGCTGGTTTACTCCCCAAATGGCTAACGGCTAGAGCTGAATGGACCAGGAGCCTGGAGCCTCTTCAGGTCTCCCACGTGGGTGCAGGGAACCAGAGCTTTGGGTCATCCTCAGCTGCTTTCCCAGGCCACAAGCAGGGAACTGGATGGGGAGCGGGACCATCAGGAACTGGCATCCATATGAGATCCTGGCGTGCTCAAGGTGAGAACCTTAGCTGCTGAGATATTGGCACCGGGCCCTCAGATGGAGTTCTTGACGCCTGGTTTCAGTATGGTCCTCCTATGGAAGTTACTGCCCTGTTGCTAATTGAATGCTGTGGCTTCAGATAGGTAAATTAATTCCTTTTGTAAATCAGTAAAAAGACAAATAGCCTTAGTTTTTAGAATAAGGAAAGGACTTAGCATGTTTCTCTAAGGATACAAAAATGGCTATGAAACCTATGAAAAAGATAAGTATCATTAGCTATCAAGGAAATGCAAATTAAAACTGAAATGACATTATGTGGCTTTTATCAACAAGACCAATAGTAAGTATTGGCAAGGATGTTTAAAATTGGAACCCTTGGGCCCGGCGCAGTGGCGCAAGTGGTTAAAGGTCCTCGCCTAGCACGCCCGGGATCCCATATGGGCGCCGGTTCTAATCCCGGCAGCCCCGCTTCCCTTCCAGCTCCCTGCCTGTGGCCCGGGAAAGCAGTCGAGGACGGCCCAAGGCTTTGGGAACCTGCACCCACGTGGGAGACCCAGAAGAGGCTCCTGGCTTCGGATCGGCATAGTATCGGCCCGTTGCACTCACTTGGGGAGTGAATCATTGGACGGAAGATCTTTCTCTCTGTCTCTCCTCTCTGTATATCCGCCTTTCCAATAAAAAAATAATAAAAATAAATCTTTAAAAAAAATGGAACCCTTAGGTCTAGAATTGTAGTATACTGGGTAAAGCCACTTCCTATGATGCCAGCATCACATATAGGCACTGATTTGTGTCTTCGCTGCTCCAGTTTTCAGTTCTGCTTAACAGCCTGGGAAAAATAGCAGAGATGGACCAAGTGTTTGGGCTCCTGACACCCAGGAGGGAGACCCAGATGAAGCTCCTGGCTCCTGAATTCAGCATGGCTCAACCTTGGCCTTTACAGTCATGTAGAGGCTGAGCTGATGGATGGAAGATCTCTCGATACTGCAATTTTCAAATAAGTAAATAAATTTTTTTAAAACATTTATTTTTTATTGCAAAGTCAGATTACAGAGATGTGGAGGAGAGACAGAGAGGAACATCTTCTGACCGTTGATTCACTTTCCAAGTGGCTGCAACAGCGAGAGCTATGCCAATCCAAAGCCAGGAGCCCGAGCTTCTTCCAAGTCTCCCACATAGATGCAGAGAAACAAGGCTTTGGGCCGTCCTCAACTGCTTTCCCAGGCCACAGAGAGCTGGATGGGAAGCAGGGCAGCTTGGATTAGAACTGGTGTCCATATGGGATCCTGGTGCATTTATGTTGAGGACTTAGCCTCTAGCATACCATGCCGGGCCCTTATCTTTGAAGAATGTAATGGAGGGGGTCAGCGCAATGGCAGTATTGGCTAATCCTTCACCATTAAGCAGTGGCATTCCATATGTGCACTGGTTTGGGTCCCAGCTGCTCCATTTGCCATCTGGCTCTCTGCTTGTATTCTGTGAATGCGGCACAGAATGGCCCAAGTCCTTAGGATCCTGCCATATGGGAGACCCAGAGGAGGTTCCTGCCTCCTGACACCAGATTGGCTTAGCTCTGGCTGTTGCTACCATTGGGGAATGAACCAGTGGATGGAAGATCTTTCTGTCTCCTCTGTAAATCTGCCTTTACGATAAATCTTCAAAAACTAGATAGATAGGGCCCGGCGCTGTGGCGTAGTGGCTAAAGTCCTCACCTTGAATGTGCCGGGATCCCATATGGGCACCAGTTCAAATCCCGGCAGCCCCACTTCCCTTCTAGCTACCTGTTTGTGGCCTGGGAAAGCAGTCAAGGATAGCCCAAACCCTTGGGACCCAGCACCCCTGTGGGAGACCCAGAGGAGCTCCTGGATAGGCACATCACCGGCCATTGCAGTCACTTGGGGAGTGAATCATCACATGGAAGATCTTGCTCTCTTTCTCTCTTCCTCTCTGTGTATTTCTGACTTTGCAGTAAAAATAAATAAATCTTTTTTAAAAACTGGATAGATAGATAGATAGACAGACAGACAGACAGACAGACCGACCGACTCTCATGTAGATTTGGTAAGAATGTAAGATGTGCAGCCACTTTGGAACAGTCCAATAGTTTCTCAAAATGTTTTAAATGAATAACCCAGCAGTTTCGCTAATAAGGAGAAATTGAAGCATATCCACATAAACACATGTTCCTAAATATGTGCAGCAGCATTATTTAGTAGAGCAAAAAGTGGAATAAATCAAATGCCACTGGATTGTTTAATGAGTAAGTTAGTGTGATACATCTTTAGAATGAAATATTAATCTACCATAGAAAGGAGTGAAGTGTTGATTCATACTATAAGATGGCTGAATTTGACGCATCTTACTAAGTGATGCAAAGCCAATTGTGCAAAGAATGTATGTCAGGACACTTCGGCAGCTCTGTGGTGTTAGGGTGGGCATTGTGGTGCAGCAAATGAAGCACTGCTTGGGATAACGGATCCCTTCTCAGAGTGCCTTCAATTACTGAGTTTTGCCTGTGCTTTGAGTCCAGCTCCCTGTGATACTCACCCTGAAAGGCAGCAGATGATGGCCCAGGTTCTTGGGTGTCTGACACCCATAGAGGTGAGCTGGATGGAATTCTGACTCCTGGGTTCAGCCTGGCCATTTCTGCTGTTGGAGGCATTTGGAGATGAAAGTATAGTAGAGGGAGGATCTCTCACTCTGCTTTTCAAGTAAATAAAAATCAGTAAATAGAACTATAAATATAGTTATATATACTATAAAAATAGTACATAGGGCATTTGATGCATGAAGAGTGCCCATATATACCAATCCTAAGAGTTATGTTATATGTTCAGATCAAGATTTGGGCCCAGAACAATGGCTCAGTGCCTAAATCCTTTTCTTGCCATGTCAGGATCCCATATGAGCTCTGGTTTGTATCCTGGCTACTCCACTTCCCCTCCAGCTCCCTGTTTATGGCCTGAGAAAGCAGTTGAGGACGACCCAAGGCCTTGGGACCCTGCACTAACGTGGGAGACCCAAAGGAAGCTTCTGGCTCCTGGCATCAGATCGGTTCAACTTCAGCCATTCTGGCCATCTATTGAGTGAACCAGTGAATGAAACATCTTTCTGTATCTCTCCTTCTCTCTGTAAATCTGCCTTCCCAATGAACCATAAGTTTTTTTTTAAAAAAAAAAAAAAAAAAAGGTCAAGAGGTGCAGAAAAAGACAGATTTTTCCTTCCACTGATTTACTTCCCCGGAGGGCATGATGGTCAGAACTGAGCCAGGCTGAAACCGGGATCTTCATTTAGTTTTCCCATTTCGATGCAGATGCCCAGGTACTTGGGCCACCTCTGCTTATTCCGGGATGCTAGCAGGAAGCTGGATCCAAAGTGAAGCAGCCAGGACACAGAACTGGTGCCCAGAAGGGATGCCAACATCACAGGCAGCAGCTTTACCAGGTGTGCCACAACGCTGGCCCCCTCAGTCCCATGTTCTTGAGCTTTTTAAAGTTTCTTTGTATTATGAGATTTCACTTTGATGGAATGTCCAGAATAGATCAATTCATTGTCTGTTGTATATGGCTAAGGACATGAGGACATGAGGGAGGAATGAAGAACAGCTGCATATGGGCATGAGATTTCTTTATTAAAAAAAAGTCCTAAAATAAATTGTGCTAATGGTTACACAAGTCTCTGAGCAAGTGAGTTTTATATGTGAATTATATCTTTGGAAAAACTATTACTAAAAAAGCAGCAGGTTAGCATCTAGTATTCACTGTGCCCGTGTATTCACTCTAACAGTGGTGGTGGTGCTGGTGATGAGTGCATGCGAGTAGCAGAAATGTGCAGCCGACTCACATAATATTGTGAAGCATTCTGTTTTATAGGATCTCCTCTATCGAAGATCCAGGTCACTAGTAGATTATGAAAATGCTAATAAAGCACTGGATAAAGCAAGAGCAAAAAATAAAGATGTTCTCCAAGCTGAAACTTCCCAACAATTATGCTGTCAGAAATTTGAAAAAATATCTGAATCTGCAAAGCAAGGTATTATTATGTTGATCTTGAATCACAAGGCATGCTTTATGACCCTGATATAAATTGAATAATCATGGTTTGTTTTCAGAACTTATAGATTTTAAGACAAGAAGAGTTGCTGCATTCAGGAAAAATTTAGTGGAACTTGCAGAATTGGAACTGAAACATGCAAAGGTAATCTCACATTAAAGATGTAATGATTTGGTTGCTGTGTAACTTACAGTTGATTCAGTTATGAAATTGATCCTGATCCTTTACTGACAGTTGCTGCCTACCAAAGTACTTTAAGAACTATTGCTGAGCTGGAATTAAGTTTTCCAAATATTGTTTTAGTGCTTCAGAAAAAAATTAGTTAATATGTTAATATCTGGGTTTTTGTTTTTAGCAGTGTTTGTTTATTATGCAATATAAAGGCTCAGGTTAGATATGTGATGCCTGCAGCACAAGTTGAGCTGCTCTTTGCGAAACCTGCATCTCCTATTGAGGTGCTGATTCACACGCCAGAAGCTGTCTCTGATCCAACTTTCTGCTAATGCATCCTTGGCAAGAATAAATGATCCCCCAAGTGCTTGGAACCCTGCCACCCATGTGGGAGAACTGACTGGAATTCTGAGCTCTTGCCTTTGATCTGGTCCAGTGTTGGTTGTTGTAAGCATTTGGGGGATGAACCAGTGGATAGAGTAAACATTTAACAAAAATGGAGGGGTGAGTGTCAGGATATGATGCAGCTGGTTCATCTGCTGCTTGGATGCATGCTTCCCATAACAGAGTGCTGGTTTGAGTCCTAGCCACCCTGTCCTTCCCATCCAGCTCCCTGCCTGTGGCCTGGGAAAGCAGTCGAGGATGACCCAAAGCCTTGGGACCCTGCACCTTGTGGGAGACCCGGAGGAGGCTCCAGGTTCCTGGCTTTGGATTAGCTCAGCTCTGGACATTGCGGCTGCTTGGGGGGTGAATCATCAGACAGAGGATTTCCTCTCTGTCTCTCCTCATCTCTATATCTGCCTTTCCAATAAAAATAAATAAATCTTGGGAAAAAAAGAAATATTTTAAAAATGAATAAAACAGAAAGACTTGGAGACAAGCATTTGTCCTAGCAGTTAAGGTGTGAATTGAGATAACCTGTGTCACCGTATCAGAGTACCTGAGTTTGATGCTTTGCTCAGGCCCCAGCTCCAGCTCCTGGCTCCAGCTTCTTAATAAAGACACTGTTAAGATAGCAATGATGATTTTTCGCTGGATTCCTGCCACCAGAATTGAGTGCCCAGCTCCTGGCCCAGGCCTGGCCATTGCAACCATTTTAGAAGGGAACTAGTAAACTGGCATTTCTTCTCTTCCTCCCATCTTCCCTCCCTCCTTCTGTCAAATATGTGAGAAGAAGCAGAGAAAAGCCTGGATCCAAACCTTTATTTTTAGATGAGTGGGAAGGATCAAGGGCTAGGGAAAAGAGATCATTGTTTCCAAATTTTTTGTTTCTTCTTCCTGTTTCTAGGGTGAGGGGGGGAGAAGGGGAGAAGCCATACCCAGCTTCTCAACTGCCCCAGTACCTGGGGATAGGGAAAAGCCGCCTGATAGCAAGCCAGGGTCCTGATGTGGCACACATTCCATCTGCCCAGGTCGTTTTTATAATTCTGAAATGCTGTTGATCATTTTTATTGGAAAGGCAGATTTAGAGAGGTAAAGACAGAGAAAAAGATCTTCTGTCTGCTGATCCACTCCCCAAATGGCTGGTCTAAAACCGTGAGCCTGAATCTTCCCCCACCTGTCCTACGTTGGTGCAGGACCCCAAGAATTTGGATCATCATTGGAAAGGCAGATCTACAGGAAGAGAAAGATCTTCCATTGCCTGGTTCACTCCCCAGATAGCCACAACAGCCAGAGCTGAGCTGATCCAGTCCTGGGTGCCTGGAACAACTTATGGAGTCCCACATGTGTACAGGGTCCCATTCTCCCTTGCTTTCCCAGGCTATAAACAGCTAGCTAGATATAAAATGGAACAACTGGGATATGAACCACCACCCATATGGGATGCTAGTGCTTACTGGCAGGGGATTAACTAATTGAACCCTTAACTGAGCCTCCTCATCAAAGCCTTGCTTTAAATGATTAAATTAGGGGCCCAGCATGATAACCGAATGGCTGAAGTCCTCACCTTGCATGTGCCAGGATCCATTGGGCACTGGTTCATATCCTGGCCACCCTGCTTCCCATCTAGCTCCCTACTTGTGGCCTGGGAAAACAGTCTAGGACAATCAGAGCCTTGGGACCCTGCACCTGCAAAGGAGACCGAGAAGTTCCTGGCTCCTGGCTTCAAATCAGCTCAGTGCCATTGCAGCTACTTGGGGAGTGAATCAGTGGATGGAAGATCCTTCTTCTCTGTCTCTCCTCTTATCTGTAAATCTGACTTTTCAATAAAAATAAATAAATATTTTTTTTAAATGATTAGGACAACAGGAACCAGCGTTCAGCAAATAACATTGAATTTATTAAATACTAATTAAAAATAAAAATATGGTTTTTAAAAATCCATTAATCTAATAGAATATGCAATAGTACATGACTCCAGAAAAGGCTGAAATTTCTTTTCCTTCTATACTAATTTGTGTTGAATTATTATTATTCTTTGATTATATTTATTCAATTTTAAATCAGCATATAATCAGCCATTTCTATCTATGCTTTATGTATAAAGGGTGTAATTGTCAAAAAATCATAATTAAGGTATTTGTTATCTGATTGCCTGGTGTGGTAACTCTCTGCATAAAATGTCCTCAGCAGTTTGGCATGATTTACTTTTATTTAGCCTGTGTAGGTTTCTAATGTTAATTGTTATCTTATTAAACTCAAGAACTTGCAAAAATTTTGCTATAAGCTTGGAGTTGGTAAATTATAGCCCATCTCTTTTTAGAGACTGTGAGCTCAGAATCATTCACAGTCTTAAATGGTTGTTGAGAAACACTAGAAGAATATTTCTTAAGATTTTATTTATTTATTTATTTATTTATTTTTGGAAAGTCAAATCTACAAAAAGGAGAGAGAGAGAAAGGTCCCCCATCGCTGGTTCACTCCCCAAATGTCTGCAATGGCCAGAGTTAACCGGATCCAAAGCCAGGAGCCAAGAGCTTCTTCCAGATCTCCCAAATGGGTGCAGGGTCCCAAGGCTTTGGACAATCCTCTGCTGCTTTCCTAGGCCACAAGCAGGGAGCTGGATGGGAAGCAGAGCAGCCAGAACACAAACCAGTGCCTATATGGGATCCTGCTGGCTGCAAAGTAAGGATTTAGCCACTAGGCTATTGCACCGGGCCGTAGAAGAATATTTCATGAGATGTAATAACTGTATAAATTTTAAAGATTCAAGATTTTATTGGAATGCCTGTTCACTGATACCTTGGGTTTTTCCCTACTACCATAGCTAACTAGTATTTGAAACAGGTACTGTATGTCTCTCAGCACCTAGACTATTTTAGCGTTTTACAGAAAAGTCTCTGGCTCCCCATTTTGTACTTTTCCAAATCCTTTCTAAAATGAGTTTGCTGAATTCAGTTTTCTGTTAGCTGCTCTGTTGCAGTGAGCCACATGTGGAGGTGATTCTGCTTGTTGGGGAGCAGTTGGAAATGTCTGCAGACATTTTTACTGGTATATGATACGTTAAAAGGGCCAGAGATGCCACTAAATGCTATACAGTGCTCAGGGCAGACCGCTGCAACCAAAATGTCAGGAGTGCTGCTGCTGAGAAACCTAAAGCCCGATATTTCTTAATGATTTTGTAATTGTGCATGATCCCATGTAGAGATTTTTAATTTCGGGCTGGTTCTGTGACCCAGCAAGTTAAGGTAACACCTGTAACACCAGCATCCCATATGGACACCAGTTCAAGTCACAGCTACTTCTAATCTAGTGCTCTATGATGTGCTGGGAAAACAGCAGAGGGCAGCCCGACTTTTGGGCCCCTGCTACCCATGTGTGAGAACCAGAAGAAGCTCCTTGCTCCTGGCATCAGCCTGGCCCAGCTCAACCATAGCAACATGTGGGGAGTGAACCAGTGGATGGAAGGTCAATCAGTCTGTCTCTTTCTTTCTCCTCTCTCCTTTCTGCCTTTAACTCTGCCTTTTAAATAAAAAATAACTTTTTTAAAAGTATGTTTTTTCATATTTTTCTTTTTTCTTTTTTAGGGTAACCTACAGTTGCTGCAGAACTGCCTGGCAGTGTTAAATGGAGATACATAAGGCATATTCTGCCTTCCTATTCAAAAGGGCTGCCTTTCTTCCAATTTTATTTTTGTTTTCTTAATACTGTTAGGCATATATGCTCACTGGAAACAACAAAAACGCAGCTGAAAAGTGCATATACTCTTCTTTCTCTGAAAAAGTCCATAAGGGAGCAACGCTGCCACGCCCAGGTAATGCCAGTCTGTGGTGTGGCCCTGCTTTGTCTTCCCAGGGACAGTTGTCCGTCTTCATGCACTTGGCCTACTCAAAAGCCCCAAGTTCAGTCTTTTTAAAGTAGCTTCCATAACTATCTTTATTTTACAAATAGTATTCCTTATGGCTGCCAATCTTATTAAAATTAATGAACATTTCTTAGATGTTTTGGGACAAACTTTATGTATCTTTATAAGTATGATTCTGAAGGAAAGCAAATGCATTAGTATGTTTGCCTTAAACTTGTAGACTAAACCAATTCCTATAAAATAACCAGCGGTAACAGTGATCGTTCTCGCTCTGTGGTCATGGTATCACGCTCTGGAATCTAGAGTGGCTGTAATAAACCGACTCCTGTCTTATGCTTCACAGTGCAGGTTTTAGTTTCTCTTCTTTCTTACTTTTAAAATGACACCTTGAACTGAGTTCACCAGTCCCTCCACAAAAGAAGGAACTGCTCCTCTGTGTATGCTTCATAGAAGATGGAATCGCACGGGGGCAGGTGAGAGAAAGCTGTATCTGGAGCAAGGAGCAGACAGTAGGCAGTCCATTGAGTGTCCCAGATTCCGTCCCTAGCCCAGTGAGTCACATATGAGATAGATGCCATTCATCCACCTGGTAGTTGCCATGCCAGCACACAGATTGGTATGTAGAGGGAAGGAGGTCTGCTGAAAGGAACAGCACTTACCTGTAGGGTAAAAGTAGTACAATATTTTGAATGAAAATTGGTGTACAGTAGGATACTATGTACCAGCAGTTACCTGACGAATGGTACTGGCCTTTCTAATGTGAATGAACATTATTGTCATTCCTGGTTTAAAGTTTGATTGAGTGGTTGGATTTTTTTTCACACTTTTTCTAACTTTTCTCCCATTGGGAAACCATAGGCATGTGGGTTGGTCACCCCTGGGATGGTTCCTAACTTGTTTACATTGTCCAAAGCCACTCTGAAGAAGGCCTGATCTCAGGCTCATTGCCGCTGTGGTGATGCCAGCATTTTTTCAACAGCGTGTACTCTTGGCATCCTCATTCATGTGCTGGTTAATGTTGCATCTCAATGGACATGTTCCACAATGCTGTCTGAACTGTTGATGTTTCTGTTGGCTGACACATCTGTGTGTTTTGTCTTTCGTGTAATCTCAACTGATAAAAGTATGCCCTGGTGAAGTCCAGCAGTGAGAGAACCCAGGACTGGGGCCTAGCTACTGGATTCAGACCCAGCCCCCTCACTCATTGCCTCTGTGGCCTCAAGCCAGGTTTGAGCAAGTTTGCTTGACTTCTGCCTCAGTTCTCTACTACAAAGGACACGTTGACCTACCTCACAGGGATGTTGTGAGGATTAATAAATGTTGGTATCATGCTTTGGAAAAGAGAAGAGATGATGTGTAAATGCAACCAACCTACAAGAACAGGGCAGGTGGTTGGTGGATGAGGAGGATGAGTGGGAACTGCATCCCTTGGTTTGCATATTTTGAGTGCTTGTTTTGAGATCAGGGATATGACATAAGCCATGTTTTTGTTAAGAGTGTGTGTGTGTGTGTGTGTGTGTGTGTGTGTGTGTGTGTGTGTGTGTGTTTTGGAGGGAGAGACTTAATATACACAGTGAGTTTACAGCTGCCCTATACAAAGCCTTCTCAGTAACAAAACTTACAAATAAGGTAAAGAATGTATATGACTCTCTGAAGGGCAAGTGGTGAACAACTGAGATGTGTATTTATAGCTCACTGTTAGTTGCTGCCAAAAATAGCCAGCCCTGGATTCAGTGCTGCTAAGTTGAGGCCTGTGCTTCACAGGGGACCATCTGGTGCCCTGGAGACACAGAAGTGCAACAGGAACACACCCATGAGGGTCCTTGGGGACCACAGAGTTGTCCTTGAGGGAGGTCGAAGAGTTCCTTCAGGTGATCGGAGGGTGAGGCGTCAAGGTGGGTTACGAAGGGAATATTAGTAGTTGGTTTAGGAAAAAACTGACAGAATAGGGAACAATTCATTGGTTTAAAACAATTCCAGGAGGCCTGGCACGGTGGCCTAGAGGCTGAAGTCCTCGCCTTGAACACCCCGGGATCTCATATCGGTGCCGGTTCTAATCCCAGCAGCTCCACTTCCCATCCAGCTCCCTGCTTGTGGCCTGGGAAAGCAGTCAAGGATGGCCCAATGCTTTGGGACCCTGCACCCGTGTGGGATACCTGGAGGAAGTTCCTGGCTCCTGGCTTCAGATCGGCATAGTGTCGGCCATTGCGCTCACTTGGGGAGTGAATCATCGCAAGGAAGATCTTCCTCTCTGTCTCTCCTCCTCTCTGTATATCTGACTTTGCAAGAAATAAATAAATCTTTAAAAAAAAAAAAACAAAAACCAATTCCAGGGCCTGGCACAGTGGCCCAGTGGCTAAAGTCCTTGCCTTGAATGTGCTGGGGTCCCACATGGATGCTGGTTCTAATTCCGGCAGCCCCACTTCCCATCCAGCTCCCTGCTTGTGGCCTGGGAAAGCAGTCAAGGACGGCCCAAAGTTTTAGGACCCTGCACCTATGTGGGAGACCTGGAGGAGATTCCTGGCTTCTTGCTTTGGATCAGCACAGCACTGGCCGTTGCAGTCACTTGGAGAGTGAATCATTGGACAGAAGATCTTGCTCTGTCTCTCCTCCTCTCTGTATATCTGACTTTCCAATAAAATAAATAAATCTAAAAAAAAATTCCAAACATGTCCACTAACACCATGGCCATCTTTAGCTCACAGTATCAAAGTGAAGAACTCTACAGTGGCTAGGATACAGCCTTGGTGACAGGTGACTGAGTAAGCAGCCTGGACAGGTAGGTAGGGCTCACTGCTCACCCAGGATGTCAGCACAAGGGGTTTGGGGCTATGCTTCACCTACAGCTCCCCTGCTCTGCTGGACCAGGTGTGAACTCCTGTGCTTGACTGCTGTCTGAGCTACTACGGCAATGGACTACAGTCTGACTTCCAGGTAGCAGAGAAGGTATTTGTTGTGACAGACAATGATATCTTTCACCTACTAGTTCACTTCCTCTTGTCTACAATGGCCAAGACTTGTCCAGGCTGAAGCTAGGACCCCAGAACTCCAGCCAGCTGCCTCCTATGTGGGTGAAAAGGGCCCAATCTGAGCCATTTTCTGCTTTGTGCTAGCAGTGAGCTGGATTGGAAGTTGAATAGCCAGAACGCCAGCTAATACTTGCATACTGGGTGCCAGCGTTATAAAAGCCAGGGTTGAGCTAGGCCATAGCTGGGAGTCAGGAACGCCATACAAATCTGACAGGCGTTATCCAACTCCATGAATCAACACTGACTGCTTTCCACAGCCAAGGCCTGTGTGAAAACAGCAGCTATCCTGTGTGAAACTTACAGGAAAGGTCAATTTTACAGAGAAGGAAGGAAGGAAAGATCTTCCATCTGCTGGTTCACCCTCCAAGCAGCTGCAACAGCTAGGGCTGGGCCAGTACAAAGGCAGGAGCTTCCTCCGGGTCTCCCACATTGGGTGACAAGAACCCAAGGCTTGGGAGATGCTGTTTTCCCAAGCCAAGGCAGGGAACTGAATGGGAAGAGGAGAGGCTAGAACACGAACAGGTGCCATATGGGATCCTGGTAAATACAAGCCAAGGTTTTAGCCACTAAGCCATCACACCAAGCCCTCATGTGTCAAGCTGGATACTCCATTAGATTCTGACTTGAACATTCTTTGGGCACTGTCTTACTTACAAAGCAGGAACATAGTTGCCTAGAGACATCTCAAAGATGGTTGGTTATTCTCTATCCCAATCCTTGTCCCACCCTCAAAATTCTATTGGATGCTTAAGCAGATGAGGCTTTTCTTTTTCATTCTTTCCTTTTTTTTTTTTTTTTTTTATTACAAAGTCAGAGAGGAAGATCTTCCAACCGATGATTCACTCTCCAAGTGGCTGTAATGGCCCGGGCTGCACCAGGGCCAGGAACCAGGAACCTCTTCCAGGTCTCCCACACGGGTGCAGGGTCCCAAAGCTTTGGGTCGCCCTCGACTGCTTTCCCAGGCCACAAGCAGGGAGCTGGATGGGAAGTGGAGCTACCGAGATTAGAACTGCGCCCATATGGGATCCCAGCACGTTCAAGGCGAGGACTTAAGCCGCTAGGCCACGCCACCGGACCTAAATGAGGCATTTCTGATCAACTATGACATCTTCCCACTTTGAAACACCCCTGGCCCTTCCAGATGCCTAACCTGCCCTGGACCACCCACTGTCACACTACTCATCTACTACCCGCCTCCACTTGCTGCACCATCAGCCAACATCTGAAAGCGTCCGCACGCCACTTCCGCCCGTACTTCCGAGTCCTTGCTGCGCGCTTGCGCACAAGGCTCCTGCCAGAACGAGGGCGGAACCGGTGGGCGGGTTCCAAATCTCCCCGGGAGCTGCGGCCTCACTCTGAGGGAAGAGAGGCAGCTCTGTAGGACTCGGAGAAGGGCGTCTCCGGAGGAGGTGAAAACCCGGAGGCAGCGTCTAGGACCACTAGCAAAGCCGAAAAGTAGCTGCGGAGTCAGAAAAAAAAAAAAAAACCCAGCTTTTTCGACGCCTCACTCTGACCCATTCCTGTTTGTGCCCTCCTTAATTCTACTCTGCTTGAACAGCCAACGTGAAGGATGCCTGAGATCCGCAAATTTTACCTCACCCTGAACCCCACTACTAGTCCTTCCAGATGCCTAACCTGCCCTGGCCCACCCACTGTCACGCTTCTCATCACCTACTAGCTGCCACCTCCTGCTGCCTCCTCAGCAACTCAAACTTGGTGTGGTTCCAACCCAGCCCAGGTCCCGCTCTTGCCTGCACCTCAGCCCTGCACTGCTTCTGGCTCAGTTTCTGCTCAGGCCAGCCCCTCCATCCTCACACCTGCCAGAGGCTGGATCTCCTGCAACCCCGCCGCCTTGCTCTCTGTCCCTGAGCTCAGCTCCCAGGGCCTGGCATCCTAGCACTGTCTCCTCCCGCCATGTCCCCACTGCCTCCCGCCTGTGAAGCTTGACAACAGGCTCCCCCTAGCAAGTCTTCTGTTGGTTTTTCTTGCAAAATCATCTTGTACCTGGGGGACCATGCTTTTCTCGGGCCTCAAAGCATTTTGCCCAAGCCATGTCCTTCCACCCCGACCTGGAGCCAGCACGACTGTCGGATGCGGAATCTGTGTCTTTGCCCCCTCACAGCCTGTGCTGCTGCCCGAGGCACCCTCTCCTTGAACTTTGTCATGTCTGCAGACCAAAGCTCCGTCGGCAGGATGCACATACAGCAAGAACGACCCTCAGAACACTTGCAGCCCAGACAGGTGGGCTTCCAGGCACCCACCCTGCACGTTCTCCAGGACGCATTTTTAGATTCCCCGCTCCTGGACGCTCGCTCCTCCATCCACCCACTTGAAAGCTCAGGGTGCGTGCGCCATGCCCACATCTTGTCTGGTTTTCAGTTACTCTTCATGCCAACGCCCTTGCGAGGCATCAGGGGTCTCCATCAAGGCAGCAGAAGGAGCAGCGGTGGCGCAGCAGGTGGAGCCACGATGCACAGCCATTCCAAAAGTGCCTCGTTCACAGTTCTCTCCACAGGCCACCCCACAGTTCTCTCAACTTGGTGCTGAGGTCCTGCCAGCCGCGTGGGAGACTCAGTTGGAAGACCTGACTGCTGCAGGCACCTGGGGAGTGAGCCAGCAGATGGGAGCTATCCCAGTGCACACTCTGGCTCTCCTGCGGAGAGATTCTATCACCCTGCCTTTCAAATTTTTTAAAAAAGAAGAAGAACAACAAGAAAGAAGAAAAATATAAGCAGGGGAGGGGTGAGGGATGGCAAGTTAAGCCTACACCTGTGGTGTCAGCATCCCACGTTGGCACCGGTTCTATTCTGGGCTGCTCCACTAGTGACTCAGCTCCTTGCTGATGGCCTGAGAAAAGCACTCACTCCCCTCATGTGTGTATGTGAATGTGCGTTGTACCTGTGTAGAACTGAAATAAAAATGGAGTCAGCATGGCTCATTGCTAAGTGCAATACTTCTCCCTTTTGTAACTCCTGCTTTGCTTGCTTGGCTATGAAACTGTATGAGACTCTGCAAGTGAGCCCCCACGTGACCTTCAACAAGTATGGTTCCCACTTCCCAGGGATTCACTTATGTCAACTCTGGTTATGTCACGGACGTTGCCAAGGCCTGACTCTGGTTATCTAGACTGCCGGGCCGCAAGGGAGTCGGGCACAGGATGCCCAGCTGGGACAGGCAGGGACCACACAATGCCTCCCTGCTCTCCTGCTACACTATGCAAGCCGTTGTAAAGTGGCCCTATAAAACTGTAAATGTGGTGTTCGGGGCCGCACTCCCGTAAGGGGTGTCAGTCCGGTCGGTCAGTCGGTGGGT